ATTCTTGTTTGCGCATGCTATCTGTTGTGATGGACTTGAATAGGTTTGATTGTATAATTGATAGAACACAACGCTGACGAATCCCCGGATGAACACCCTCGTGGGGTTCTCGTTAGGCCGAATGTAAGTATGATGGTAGAAATTGCAGCTTTAACATTGTATTGCTCCTTGGATATTGGAATGTCGTCCTGTAAGTCAAGGCAAATGGCAAGGAGAATTTCAGCACAAATGTAGGTAATTTAGGGAGATTAACCCAACACAAACAGGGTCAGTAATCCATTCAGCTAAAGGATTTTTCATTTGGGATATTGCCACTCGCTTAGTCGGTCGCCAGTGATGTGGATTCTTTCCTTGAAGAATGAACGATGTTATATCCCGGCTCAGTGTGGACAAATCAGACTGTCGGTTGGCCGCCCAGTGTGGATAAATCAGATGGTTGGTTTGCCACGCATTACCGAGCAGTTGAATTTTGCGACTAGTATGCGCATTACTGATGATTCTCAATACGAACCGAACACTTGTACATTCCTACTCTGGTTTTCCTGGCAATTGCCATCCCATGCACAATATGGAAGCGTTTTCACACCACCAATGATACGCATTGTCTCCCTAGAAGTAAAAAGGGCATCGTGTCTTGTCAAGGATATTTTGGCGACGCGTTCATTGAAACGTTATTCGTATAATCTGCGCATCAACGCTTGTTCATGAAGCTAAAGGGATCAACCGTGAAATCATATGATTTGAGCAGCTTAGACTTAGTAAAACAAATTCCATGTGACATTATCAATTAAGTTACCTGGACGAGACCTACTAAACTTGAAGTCCGGATGATATCACCCTACGGAGTAACGTCCAAACATCGTAGCTTCTGTTCCAATTTTCGGTTGAACTGTAGGCATTTTTTGAATATAAACTCTCCTATTTAAAAAACCGATGACAATCTAATCTTCTTCAATCCGTTCTTAATTTCGACTCCATTTTTAAAAGGTGTGCTGAATTCGTGGTTACCAAGATTAACAGAACTTACTGATCGTCAGCGAAGCAAATATTTGAACCATAGCGTTTTCGTAGTCACAGAATATACATGAAAATGATTGATTCCCGAGTAAACATAACGTGGAGGTCGAATGGAAGGAAGTTAAGGTCGGGTAAATTCTGTTTGATGCTGGTTCATTGGCTTGTTTTTGAATACATTCTCACGGCGATACGTGCGGGTTGCGTGAAACATTTGATCACTTGTTAACTAATGATCCTTAACGCAGTATTAACGTAGAGATCTTATAATGAACCCGGTGGAATAGACAAAGCAGCCAAAAAATTATGTGGATAGGCAAATCTTTTGAATATATTTAAAGCCATGGATCACCAGTAGTTATCACACCCTTGAATGTAATTCGATTTGACAATAAACTACTTAGGATACTCTACAAGCAGGAACCGATATTTCCTGTCGGTTGATGGTTTTTCTACTTATCCCAGCAACCCTCTGTAATAAAATGTCAAGACTACTTGATTGTTTGCCTAATACTTCCTCACTCAGTGATTTTGAATGTAACCTNAGAAGTGACAGGACTTGCTCCGGTGTCATGGTGCCAGACAGCAAACCTCGGGCAAATGCCAGAAGGTCAACACTAGCAAGCGAACGGTCAGCATGGGATTCCAAGAGTGAGTTGCACGGCATAATCCATGGTCCGTTTAAACTGGACGCTGTAGTAATTGGCTTCTGACGTGTGGGCCGTCATTTAGCCGATAGTTTGATCAGGTCCACGAGATGATGATTCGTCCTGTTGAGTTTGCCATTTAAGCACCCGTAATCTGGTTTTGATGCTGATAGCCGACCAATCAGGAAAATACTGTTCCAGTCTCAAGAACAGCGTGGTTTGCGTGCCACAAGATGGATATTAATAGCCAACCAGGCGCAAGAGCGATTGTGACTCTTTTTGGGACCAGCGGGAACCGGAATACTTCACTCGGCCAAGATTATCTGCATTATCCTGGGTAGGGGATGCGTCCCGGCGATGGTGACTTGGGCCAATTTTCGTCTGAAAAAAACGGGACCAATCAGCGCAGGCCAATCGGGCACCCATATTCGTACCAAAACTTTGTCGTGAAATCGATGGTGGACTACCAGGCCAGCTTTCGACTTGCAGAGTTTGCCACATTCCTCTATGGTGTACCCCACGAGTCACTCCAGTGTACTGGTCGGAACTGATGCGGTATTGATGAGACTCCCTCATCGGGAATCTGTAATCCGGGCATACGAGTATTCGTTCGCCAGACAGACCTTGATTCNCAGTCAGATCGTTAGAATTTCAGATCACTCTGAGTGCCATTTTCACGGCCGTTTTTACCCTTAGTCTTGTTTTGCGCATGCTATCTGTTGTGATGGACTTGAATAGGTTTGATTGTATAATTGATAGAACACAACGCTGACGAATCCCCGGATGAACACCCTCGTGGGGTTCTCGTTAGGCCGAATGTAAGCATGATGTTAGAAATTGCAGCTTTAACATTGTATTGCTCCTTAAAGATTAGAATGTCTTCCTGTAAGTCAAGACAAACGGCAGAGAGAATTTCAGCACAAACGTAGGTAATTTAGGGAGATTTCCCCAACACAAACAGGGTGTCGTTAGTTCAGGAGGAACAGTAATCCATTCAGCTAATGGACGTTCCATGTGTGATATTGTCACTCGCCAGTGATGTGGATCCTTTCATTGAAGAATGAGCGATATTATATCCCGGCTCAGTGCGGATAACTCAGACTGGTGGTTGGCCCCCATGGCCGAGCGGTTAAATTTTGCAACCAGCATGCGCATTACTAATGATTCCCATCGCAATTGCCATCTCACGCACATTATGGAAGCGTTTTCGCACCACCAATGATACAGATTCCTACTCTGATTTTATTGCAGTTGTCATCTCATGCACAATATGAAAGCGTTGTTACACCACCAAAGATACGCATTGTCTCCCTAGAAGTGAAAAAGGCATCTTGTCTAGTCAGGGATATTTTAGCGGCTCATGTGTGGCCGTACACGACCAGCTTGTTTGTTTAGGATATCAACGTTTGTTCAGCAAACTAAAGGAATCAACCGCAAAATCATATGATTTTA